AAATATTAGGCCCAAATAGTTTTTTATAAGTGAATTTTATCAAACTTTCAATCAAGAAAAAGTAGCTATCATTTAGAAACTATTCTGTCAAATTGGGAGAAAGAAAGGGTTATCCAACTCACTGTATGACTCTAGTGTACTCTGATACCTAAAACAAACAACTAAAAAGAAGTATTCAAGTATGCAAGTATCCTATGCATGAATAGAACTAAAAAGATCTTAAATAGGGTTTGGGGCACAGCTTAGTTGTTGGGCATTTGCACAGAATGCAAGAAGCTCTTAGTTTAATCCCCAGTACCACAGAAAAATAAATTTTTTTTTTTAAAGTTTTTTATTTTTTATTTTTATTTTTTAAAGAGAGAGGAGAGAGAGAGAGAGAGAGAGAGAGAGAGAGAGAGAGAGAGAGAGAGAGAATTTTTAATATTTATTTTTCAGTTCTCGGCGGACACAACATCTTTGTTGGTATGTGGTGCTGAGGATCGAACCCGGGTCGCACGCATGCCAGGCGAGCGCGCTACCGCTTGAGCCACATCCCCAGCCCCGAAAAATAAATTTTTTAAAAAATCTAAATTAAATTCAGGAATGCATTTAAAATACTTTTTTTTTTTTTTTTTTTTTGGTACCAGGAGTTGAACTCAGGGACAATCAACCACTGAGTCACATTCAGCCATATTTTGTATTTTATTTAGAGACAGAGTCTCACTGAGTTGCTTAGCACACCTCACTTTTGCTAAGTCTAGCTTTGAACTCACAATCCTCCTGTCTCAGCCTCCTGAGCTCTTAGGATTACAGGTGTTCACCAGCACGCCCTGCTGCCATTAAAATACATTATACCAAGCAGAACTTACCCCCAAAATACAAAAATATTTTGACAGGAAAAAAAAGTCTATAAATCTGTTTAGAATATCGAACATATATAGGAAAACAAAACAAAACCCCAATAGAAAAGATATTCTACAAAAGTGAATAGTCATTTGAGTTAGTAAAATGTGCAGATAGATAGATTTTTTTTTTAGGACACCTTATGATCATTTCTTTATTCATTCTATGTCCTCTCCGCCTCAAAACCAGGTATTACAAGCAAGGCTGCTATCGACATTTTCAAAGAGTTGTACACACATAAAAGAATCTCAGGTGTATACTTTGAAGAGAAAGTGCCTAGGGGAAAGATAGCCTCATTCTTAAATATTTACAAACTGCAAAGATTTGTACAAACTTATATTCTTCCTAAGTGTACATGAGAGCTTGTGTGTCCCTGTATCATTCCCAGCACTTTCTTCAGTTTTTCCCCCCCAAAGAACTGAGAATAAAATTTATTCATTGTGTTTGACCAATATTTATTGAGAACCTACTGTGCATAGCAAGAGAGTAGTAGGAAATGAGTCCAGAAATATGATAGCTGTCGGGGGTACATACGGCATCACTGTGAGGACTTTGGTTTTTACTGGAAATGACTTGAAAAGCCACTGAAGGATTTGATTCAAGCGGCATAATCTGACTAATTGTTTAAAAGAATCACTCTGGTTGCTATGTCAAGAACAGACTGCAATGAAAGTAGCAGGGAGATGAGTTAGGAAACTTTTTTAAATATTCAGACAAAAGATGATAGAGGCTTGGGCCACCATAAAATTATCTCGTTTAAAATTTTCGCATTACCCAAAATTACTGTAGGACCATGTTTGTGACCTTAACGGTGGGAAGGGCTGCCTGGAACAATACTCACAATGCTAAGTCATAGAGTAGGTTTAATAAATTTTACTATATAAAAACATTAACTCTACTCATCAAAGGAAACTATAAATGAGATTAAATTTCCAGGGATAAACTGGGTGAAAGCACTGTAAAATATATAGCAAAGGACTTGCTCTTGTATATTTTCAAGAAAAAGACAAACAGAAAAATAGACAAAGAATATGAATAAGCAACTCACAAAAGAAAAAATATAAGTGATGAATAAACTAAGAAGAAATGCTCCATCTTACCAGGCAGTTTTGGGGAAATGCAAAGAAAAACAGGGGGATTTTATTTTCATACATTGGATTGACAGTAAATTAGAAAGGTTGCTATCCAGCATTGACAGGCGTGCAGGGAAATAGGTGTTCTGTTGCTCTGTTGCTGAGCTTTTGGGAGAACAGATCAGGTAGTACTCCTCTCTTTAGATGCATCTTTTTTTTTTTTAAACTGGGGACTCAGCAGTGCTTAGCCACTAAGCCACATCCCCAATCATTTTTTACATTTTATTTAGAGACAGGGTCTCACTAAGTTGCTTAGGGCCTTGCTGAGTTGTTGAGGCTGGCTTTGAACTAGCGATCCTCCTGCCTCAGCCTCAGAAGCCACTGGGATTATAGGCATGCTCCATAACACCTGGCTTGCACCCCTCTTTTGACTCAGTTATCCCGAACTAGCAAGATAATTGGAGATGTGCAAAAAAGAAACATGTATAAAGTTATTTACTCTAGTACTATTCATGGTAATAAAAATTTATAACATAGCAACATAAATGATCATCTGAAGAGAAACAGTTACATAAACAGTGGTGCATCTGAATTATGTAAAAATATGCAGTGGTTAAAAAGAATTAGAACACAGTGACACAGGAAAATCTCCAAGAGACATGGCTAAGATTAAAAAAATAAAAAAAGCAAGTTGTAGAATAATCTGCACTATCTGATACAATTTAAGTAGCAAAATTCTATCTAGGTAGATAAAAGACAGATGCACACATACTTCCACATGTACAACGATACATATATATGCATGCAGATAGATAAATGCAGATAAATAATTTAGATATCTAAATATCTAAAGAAAAGAAAAACCATACTTCACACAGAATTCAGTGTTTGTCCCTAAGGAGGATCCTGAAATGGAAGTGGGAAGAGGGGGTAAGAAGAAAAAAAAATTATTGATCTGTATTGTTGGATTTTTTTTTTTTTTTTAACATCGTTTGTAGCTTTTCTGTATGTAGGTCTCTACTACATTTTGAAAAAAGACCTATCCCTTTCTAAGTTCCTGGTTGTGTGTCAGGCATGGCCCCTGCTTTGCATTCCGGACTAGCTGCATTCCTGGTTGAGCTGTGACTCAGCCAAGCATGCCCTGGGCCGGGCCAGGGTGCAACCATTCTGGGCTTTTGTCTGGGTTCAATATCCACCCAGACTGACCATGGGCAAATCAGTTTCAGTTCCCTTCTCAGGTTCAGCTCAGTTGTGGGGCAGTTTACCTCCCAATGGGGCAGGGATGAGGGTGCAGGCACTCTACAGGCTGCCCCCTCCCATCTCCTCCGTGCCTTTGGTGACCAGCCAAGCCTGTCTTGGCAGCAGGGAGGTTGAGATTTCAGGGGAAATGCTTGTCAACTTGTGCACTGCTCACAGCAAAAGGGCAAGCTGGGGATACCATGGTTGGAAAATTTTTAGTGTAGCAAAGTGTTCCCTGCCCATCTGGCAGATTACATAGAGTTTTTCTTGCACTCTTTTTGGGTAAATATAGGACAGACAAAATGGCCCTTCAAACCACAAATGAAGCCCTGGAGAGACAATCCATGGACCACAAAGACAGATCGAATTGGAAAAAAGAGGGCCTGGAGAGGGACCCGAATGCCAGGAACAAACTACTGAAGACCATGAATCAAAACTTTACTTACTGGTCAGCGGCATCCTAACAGAAGTTAGCATGTGGAAGACAGCTGTGGAAATTATAAAACTTAAAAAGCACAACTTAACCACATCAGACTATTCTAAGACCCTGAATCCCCTCCTCCTTTCTCCTTTTCCACCTCAAAATAATCAAAAGCAATCCTATAACAATCACATACTGGGGGAAAGGCAAACCACACTGGGAAAGAAAAAAAAATAGCAGCTGCTCTAGATATCTTTTTCAGACTTTGGCTAGGATTGTTTAAGTTATTTTTCATTTTCTTTTATTCTTGGCTGCCTTGACAGCCCTTCAGGATTTCAGCAGCTTCCAAAACACAGCTCAATAAAAAATCTTTCTGGAGAAGTTTCATGTTCCTAAGATTCCTTAAATTTCTCTATCTTTAACTTAGGAAATGAGGTTGAAAGAGGATGAAAAACAGCCCAGATTGCACCATTTCCTATGCGGAGTTTCTTGTAAAGCAAGCTGTGCCTCCCTCTCCAGCAAGAACAGAAAGACCCAGCTCTGACTGGGAGGTGGGCGGTGGGTCTTTGGAGCAGCAGCAGGACTATGTGTCTTTTGAAAAGGCCCCAGCAGGCCCAAATGCAGCCTGAAAACTTTTTATAAAGAAGGGGGAGGGAAAAAAAGGAGCCATTTGTATGCTAATCGTCTAAAACAGCCAGCGACTGTGGACTTCAGTCATTCACCAAATATTTATTTTGCACCTGTGCTGTGCCAGGCTCTGTTGTAGATGCTGAAGATAGAGCAGGGAAGGAATCTATTGCAACTAACTGATGCCCTCGGTGAGCAGCTGTGCCGGGTACCCGACCATGAAGGGAGCTCAAGGAAGCCCTTTCTCCTGACCTTGGACGCTGGCAGCAAAGCTCACGCTGTTCCTTCCCAGGTTTAGGCTTCCAGACTCTTTCTTCTGACCTTCCCTCTCCTGCATGCCTGGTTTATTATACCCTTCACCTCTCCCCCTATGTAATCACATGTCCCATTGTAAACATCAAAGGAAAATAAGTAGGACCAGAGAGCTGATGAAAATGAGATGTGTGACTCACAGGAGGATGTTTTTCTATTTTTCGTTTATACAACTCTCTTTGCAGAAGAATCCAGGCGCCTTTTCATGCAGACACTAGCTCCCTATGGTAATGCTTGATTCCCTGACTTTGGTGCTGAAGGTCAAAATCTACTCTCAACCACCCACTGGTATGGACCACCAGCTGGCCTGGGCCCTCTGAGGGAGCCTGGTAATCAATCTTATGTCCTGAAGCAACTTTTTTTCCCCCCACCCCTTCCTTTAGGCTCTTAAAAAATTAATATTCACCCTTCTCAAAGTTCCCTATCATCCTGGCCACCACACTCACCTGCTGGACCTCCACAGGCCACGGCGTCCATGCTTTATAGGGAAAACACAAGTCATCAGAAAAGAACTCCCTTAAAGGTCAAGGATCATGTGTTTTCTCTCACATGTGGAAGCTAGAGAGGAAAAAGAAGAAGAAAGGTCAAGGGGTATCTTGTGAAAATAGAAAGGAGATCAGTAGAATAGAGGGAAGGGACCAAGGAGGGAGGGAGGAAGAAAAAGGGGGAAATACTCAGGAATGATATTGGCCAAAATATAATCCCACCATTAAGTACAATTATAATGCACCAGTTAAAAAATACAGAAAAATAAATAAATAAAAGGACTCCCTCCATTTCCAATCACCCCACCTCTGAGGTAATCTGCATCTGCAAATATCTCTTCCATCTTGCACAAAGGGGTCCCTCCCATTTAGGGGGAGACCCTGCACCAGAACTTGGGCTCCATCTCCTCCTGTCTTCTCAGGGAGCCCCTCATCAGTCATCCCCCTCCTCACCTCCCACTCCATTTCTGCCTTCTTCTGCGGGATCCTTTCTACCAATCTAACAGTAAATCTCTGGCTTCCTCTCATATGAACTTCCTGCTAAAGACTGATCCAGAAACTCATCCAAGAATGAATAATTAAAAATGAGCCTGGATAGCATCTACACTATCCTTGTGTTCGTCCCCCTTTCCTTCACATTCTCCTTTCCCGGACATTTTCTCAATTTCATCTTCTAATCCTGCCAGTGAAATTTTTATCTTGTCAACAACCATTCTTTTCATTCCCAATATTCCTCTTACTTCTGATAATTCTTTTTACAGCATCCTTGCTCTCGTTTTAGGTAAATAATATCTTCTTAAATCTTTGAAAACACTAATTAGAGGTCATTTGGGATTTTTTTTTTAAATTAACTCTTATTTCCTAATTTTGTAATTTTTTCCTGTCCGTCTTGTGGAATGACAGATATGCAATCAGAGGATGCACTGGTATATCCTCATATACACATTTATATCACTACTCCAGGTCACACTCCTGAGTTCCAGATTTATATCTTTAACTTCCTAATGAAAAACTGTGCTTTGACATCCTAAGGCACTAAAACCAAATTGAGGGTTTCCTCTAAACTTGTTTCTTTTTCTTTTAGTTCAGAAAATGGTACTACCATCAATTTCAATTGCCCAAATCTAAACACCCAGGAGTAATTCGTAACTGGCCCAATTTTTCCTCAGCTATGTCCTACCCATTAATTCCTAATGAACCTAGCTCCATAATATCACTCATTGTTACCCTGGTTTTTTCCTACTTTGTTGAAGAAACCCAGGTGGTGTAAATGCTAGTATCTCTCCACACATTCCACCACTGGATGGCAGGGAAGGTGGAGTGACTCATGATTTGTGAATGTGGAAAGGACAAACTGGGCGTGCTGGTTCTAAGCCACCCTTCCTCCTCTTGGCTGCTAGCCACAGGGGGCACCTCCAGGTGTCAGCTTCCCCAGAGAGTTTCACAGGTGGGGGTTTCAGGGACGCAGATTAGGACATGGATATTGGTATACAGAAGTTTTTATTGGGGAATTCTACTGGGATCAACGACTGTGGAAAGAACTGGGAGAAGGGAAAGGAAGGGAAGGGAAGGAAGGGAAGGTTAGATTAGAAACAGAAAAGAACAAAATGGGGCAAAGGGAGAAGTTGAGCTGAGATTCAGACTCAATGTGGCTGTCCTTTGGGGAGCTCCAAAGCTGGAATGACCTTTTCAAATAATCTCAAATTGGGGTTAGGGGATCAAGACTTTATATTTCCCTGCTCCAATTAGTCTTTGGATTTGGGCCACTCCAGGAAAGGGGCATGACTTTGGGCTAGTGGCTCTCTCTAATCAAAGCTATCCCTAAAGAGGTCTGATAGCTGAGACCTGCTAGTAGGACCAAGCAGCCAGGGGAAGAAGTTCTAAATTTCTGAAGAGAGTATCAGGTGGCGCACTGCAGCATTGACCTCAGAGACACCTGCTTTGATCTAGGGGTTTAACTAGCATCTCATTTGGCTCTCACATCAAAGACTTCCACTTTAGCTTCTTTTTAAATTAATAAACAGTGTATTTTAGAGACGGCCTGCCAATCCTTTGTTACAGAGCTTTATTTTTTCCAGAGACTTGGCTGGGACAAGGGATGCTATTTAAACCTAAACCAATTCTCAGTATCCTTCCTACCACTCCACTGGATCAAGCCCTCCTCATCTCTTTCCTGAACCACATCCGCCGCCTCTGTTATGAACCTTCTCTGGCTCTCTCTCCACACTTTTCTCCAAAAGGAGATTTTTTTTTCAAAGCATATGTCTGATCATCTCACTCTGTGTTATTTAAAACTGTTCCTTGCTTTTCCATTGCCCCCCCAGGATTGGGCATAACCTAATAGTATTGAGTAGGCCAGTAAGATTTGGTTTGCTCACCAACCTAGTCTGATTCTCTTAATACTTCCTTACTCTCCACCTCTCTACTTGATGCAAGAGAGAAGTACTTGAGGTCTCCATTAACAATCGAACTGTTTCTTGACTCTGGTTTTTAAATATCTTCTCAGATTAGAATGTACTGAACTGTTTCCTTATCTGACTCTCTCACTTGACTGCAAGCATTTTGGGAACAGGGACATGTCCTTGTACTTATAATAGGCACTCAATAAATATTAAATGAATGCATGAATATTTCTAGGAAGGACTTATGGTCTGTCATGCTTACTTATTAGCAGTGGCCACTAAACATATGGAAGTTTTTTTCAACTTTACTATTAAAAAGGCACTCTGAAACAAGGAGTACCATTTTTCACCTAGAAACTGGCAGAGTTGCTGGTGGGCATGATGGTAGATACCTGTAATTCCAGCAATTCAGGAGACTGAGGCAGGAGGATTATAAATTTAAGGCCAGCTTCAGCAACTTAGTGAAGTCCTGTCTTAAAATCAAAAGTGGGGGGAAAAAAAGGTATGAGGATGCAGCTCCGTGGTAAAGCATTCCTGGGTTCAATCCCCAGTATCCAGAAAAAAAAATTGGCAGAGTTACTAATAATAATACTTGAATATCAAGGGTGTGAAGAAATGAGAATCTAATAAATTGTAAGTATCAGAAAAAAGCATTTTGGCAATATTAACTAGAATCTTAAGAGGCTGAAGCCATGTGTCCTAATAATTACACATCTAGAAGCCTATCTCCTTCATTACTCTTTTACTTCACACTTTTCTGAATGTTGCACATTTTCCACAACAAGCACAGTTTCATTTAATATGGGGGGAAAGATGGTAGTGTTCTATTTATTGAGAAGATGGTCTAAGATTTTGTGAACAG